TAAACCTACGACTTCCTGGTGCATCTACTTGTACTTGTACCTGTAGAACATGTACAACTGTATGGAATTTGATGCGAACAGGCGGATTATTCCAATTTATGCGATTCGTATGCTATTTGCCTCAAATTATGCGACTATTCGATTTTGGTAGGAATTATGCGAAAAATTGTGCTAGCATAATCCGTCAAGGCCTATTTGAAAGTCTCATGAGCGGTCGTCTTAGACTGGCTCCACAGTACCGTAGTCATCCACAATAAGGGTGTCTAATAGGCGATTCAGACTACGGTCAAATGTGACCACGTTTCTACGACTCAGATGGATTTGATCAGAGATTGTGCATACAATTTTGAAACACGACTGCATCACCATAGAAATTCAAGTTCAGAAGTGATTTTGGCCGTAGTCTGAATCGACTATTAAGCCTATTTATAATATTACTATTTTTTTCACATTCGACGCAACGCCGACGGTACGGGACATGATCTGAGTATAATCGTAGGACCTCAAGTCTTGACACTACTTGTGACATGATCAATTCTGCTATGCTCTAATGCAGACTAGCAATAAGAGGCATTTGTCAGATACTAGAAACCATGAGGTACTGAGACGATTCTCTTTAGCAAACCACCCACTCCGCTATAAATGCTCAAATAATCTGTCATCTGCCTGCTCCAACTTGAGTTACTTGACTGTCCTCTTGACAAGTGAAAATGGCTGGCGTTGTCTGGGCCATAAACACCATTATTGGCATTAATCCAACGTCTCCCTTGCTCCTCATCTCTGCATCTCGTAACAATAGGTCTGGCACATCAAAATCGAAATCTAAAACTAAAATGCTTGGAGCTCTTATTAGTTCAAGCTATATTTTCAGAGCCAGGAAGTTGCAAATGGCAAGAAACCCAGCTTCTCTTCACCATTGGCATCACGAGCTATGATCATTATCAGCGAGCAATGTTACTAGAGGAAAGGCGCTGGAGTGAACAGAAAGCTTTCCAAGCAGCAACGTTTCTTTCTCAGCAAGAACAAATAAAATGAAAGGAGCAACGTTGCAACACCAGGGATTTGTCTATACCCGGTACCCGGGTGTGTGTAGCCCCTGGCATGGCAAGACTCTGCCACAGATTTCCAGTACAACGGCCACGGACAAGTGTCCCACTGAGATGCGGTCGCTCGCCCGGACCGCTCCGACGCGGACACCTGCGAAGAGCAGCCTGTGACGTTTATTTTTTATGACAGAAAACTGCAAAAAAAAGTTGAGCTTGTCCCTACCCTGTCGGGAGGGCTAGGGCTGGGCTGGGGTGAGCTGTAAAATCCTGTACGATTCGTACGAATTTCGTACGAAAGGTCACTTCCGGGGTCAACTTTGCGCTAGAACCCCCCTCGTACCTTCTGAGTCAGTCAAGTGTCAAGTTCGCCAAGAAGTGTGTGTTCCTAGTTGGAACAATCAAAAGCACAATACTTCAGTAGTTTCTAATTATCGCAACTCAAAATGAGCGAGTTCCTGTGCATAGTGATGCCAAAAACAACCAATAAAGGAGCGGAAATGGAAAACACTGGCGCAGCACACCTGCATGAGTAAAGTCAATCGTACTTTGAAGTACATATACCGGTAAATGCATAATAATTCACAGCGTGAAACATGTTTAGGAAAATGAGCAGACTTGGAATGAGTCTTTTTTTCCTTTTTTGTTGAACCCTTGCACAGCATACACGACATAGCGGCATGCTCAGTGCTGCCACATGAGAAGTACACTTGTCATGATGATGTTATGCAATGTTTCAGCGCTTCTTGTTGAAGCGGAGCATCACGGACATTTCAATGGTCTCCTCCAAGGCGCTTCTCCGCAAACAGTTGCGGAAAAGATGCGAAGTAGTTTGTGAAAATGAAGAAAGTTGCGATTTCTTCCAAAGCAACAAAACGTTGCGAAAAAGTGGCGAGCATCTTTTGGAAAGGGATAGATGTGAAGCTTTTGTGCTCAATTTTATATTTCAATTGAGAGTTCTATTTGTTTCCGAAATTGGGTTGTCTTTTTGCTTTGACTCGTACTTCATGGTTTCACGCGATTGGCCCAATTGGTGTTGTGAATAATACCGTTCTCAAGGACTAAGGGATGCTATTCAAGTTCCAGTCAAATGACCCTGGATAAGGAGACCACCTGGTAATAGAGACCACGTTTTGAAAGTAGGCCTTGACGGATTATGCTAATATTTTCGTGAAATTATGCTTTTCGCATTGCTGAAAAAATTGCAGAATTATGCTATTTTTATACTAGAAGTTATACATATTATGCCGCATTCTGCTCACATATGCTGCTAATGTATATGATGGTTCTGTGCAAAATAACAGGGGAATTTTTTTGTAGAGGGCGCTGTACTGTAGTAGCAAAACTTCAACGGGGTCAACGCACCGTCCGACCTAGCTACGACCGTCACTGATTGTAGTGGACTCGACATGTTATTAAGGGAGTCGTAAACCTACGACTTCCTGGTGCATCTACTTGTACTTGTACCTGTAGAACATGTACAACTGTATGGAATTTGATGCGAACAGGCGGATTATTCCAATTTATGCGATTCGTATGCTATTTGCCTCAAATTATGCGACTATTCGATTTTGGTAGGAATTATGCGAAAAATTGTGCTAGCATAATCCGTCAAGGCCTATTTGAAAGTCTCATGAGCGGTCGTCTTAGACTGGCTCCACAGTACCGTAGTCATCCACAATAAGGGTGTCTAATAGGCGATTCAGACTACGGTCAAATGTGACCACGTTTCTACGACTCAGATGGATTTGATCAGAGATTGTGCATACAATTTTGAAACACGACTGCATCACCATGGAAATTCAAGTTCAGAAGTGATTTTGGCCGTAGTCTGAATCGACTATTAAGCCTATTTATAATATTACTATTTTTTTCACATTCGACGCAACGCCGACGGTACGGGACATGATCTGAGTATAATCGTAGGACCTCAAGTCTTGACACTACTTGTGACATGATCAATTCTGCTATGCTCTAATGCAGACTAGCAATAAGAGGCATTTGTCAGATACTAGAAACCATGAGGTACTGAGACGATTCTCTTTAGCAAACCACCCACTCCGCTATAAATGCTCAAATAATCTGTCATCTGCCTGCTCCAACTTGAGTTACTTGACTGTCCTCTTGACAAGTGAAAATGGCTGGCGTTGTCTGGGCCATAAACACCATTATTGGCATTAATCCAACGTCTCCCTTGCTCCTCATCTCTGCATCTCGTAACAATAGGTCTGGCACATCAAAATCGAAATCTAAAACTAAAATGCTTGGAGCTCTTATTAGTTCAAGCTATATTTTCAGAGCCAGGAAGTTGCAAATGGCAAGAAACCCAGCTTCTCTTCACCATTGGCATCACGAGCTATGATCATTATCAGCGAGCAATGTTACTAGAGGAAAGGCGCTGGAGTGAACAGAAAGCTTTCCAAGCAGCAACGTTTCTTTCTCAGCAAGAACAAATAAAATGAAAGGAGCAACGTTGCAACACCAGGGATTTGTCTATACCCGGTACCCGGGTGTGTGTAGCCCCTGGCATGGCAAGACTCTGCCACAGATTTCCAGTACAACGGCCACGGACAAGTGTCCCACTGAGATGCGGTCGCTCGCCCGGACCGCTCCGACGCGGACACCTGCGAAGAGCAGCCTGTGACGTTTATTTTTTTATGACAGAAAACTGCAAAAAAAAGTTGAGCTTGTCCCTACCCTGTCGGGAGGGCTAGGGCTGGGCTGGGGTGAGCTGTAAAATCCTGTACGATTCGTACGAAAGGTCACTTCCGGGGTCAACTTTGCGCTAGAACCCCCCTCGTACCTTCTACTCGCAGTCACCCAGTTTCGGTGGAAGTGCGAGAGTAGTAGTAGTTTGGAATAAAGGCGGAAGCAGGGAGTCGTAAAATAGGTATTTTACGACTCCCTGGGCGGAAGGGAGGGTCTCAGCTAGGCCTGTTATTTTGCGGGTGTTGTGAAACGACAAGTTCTCGAGAGTGAGAGTTTACGACGTGGCATACGCAACAGGCGCTATGTGCGGTTTGCTGTGTGCGCTGTAGTTGTATGTGTATGCTTTTCTCATATACGCTGTCATTTTCACGCTATAACTACCTGGTGGTTTGAGTGTTAGTTATTCAGTTGTTCATTCATTGTTCATTGTTTAGTTAGTCGATAGAAGTGAAATATATTGTTGAGAATAAATAGTTGTCCTCGTGCCGTGTGGGGTCGTTCGTTCCTGATACTTTAGAGAACCAGAGGGCTCACAACAGCGGGATAATGCTAATGGCAATGCCAGAAAAACTGTATCATAATGCTACTTATAATGCTGCTGTTCCTCTGTAATGCCAGCAATTCACCAGTTGTAAGTATGGAAAAATGGCTTGGTTTGGGCAGTATTGTGCACGTTTCGTAGTTCTACGTTGACGGCATGGAAAATGCTAGAAAATCATGGTCATAATGCTAATTTTATGCTGCTATTGCTCCATAATGCCAGCAAAACCGCAATAGTATGCATGGAAAATGGCTTAGCTTGGACAATCATATGCAGGTTGTGCAGTTCTACATGTATGTACAAGGCATGTAACGGTCCATTTTTTGTGGTGGCCAAAACTTCCATATAAAATTAATGCCACTTTTGTGGAAATGTAGTGTTATAATGCTAGCATAATGCTCGTTGCAAATCGCACACTATAATGCTACATAGAATGCTAGCATTATCCACCCAGGCCTAGTCTCAGCTTCCTCGGACCAAGACATAGAATCCTGAGAATACCATGAAAGTAGGACATTATTCAAGACACTTTCCAAAGTGGGATCACTCCCATTTTTTTGACAAAACGGGCATGACGGATATCACTTCCACTTGCAACAATTCTTTTGGACGTAGCTTGCCTAGAAGTGGCTGAAAAAATGTCATTTTACAACCATGTAAAAGAAAGCCAAATCACCTCGTACCAGTAGATATGATACGCATGATAGTCATCTGGGGACGAGTTTTAACATTGAGCCTCTCTCAGCACACTGCCGATCTGAAGTAGAATTATACTGGTCATACGTTTTCTGGAGCAGCTGTTCTCTTCCTCTCCTCGTCTGCATGGTTCTGGCAAGTCGGCACCATTGGTCAAGATTGTCTTCGCTCTGCTTGCACACGTGGCGTTTAAACTTGGCCGACAAGACTGGACTTGTGATTGATTTACCTCTGTAACTGTGGTGCTGTGCGTATTTCTCCTTTGAGGCTGCAGCGTCTCTGATGAACATAATGGCATCATCCAGCGTCCGAAAGCGAGACAGATCGACGTAGGAAGAATTTGTAGGAGCCACAAACTCGTATCCCGGCATTTGATCCTGAGTTAGCACTATCGGCACCGTGCCTAGTGACAAGGCCCGCTGAAACTTCTCCGTAATGTAGTCCATACATATGGCGTTCTCAACAGCAAAATTATACAGATAGTTTTCCAGGGAGGCGCGGGCATTAGCCGGAAGCTTATGATTGTGGAGACAGCCCCCCATGCTGTGCACTGCAATCTTCTTCATCATGTACTTCAACAACTCATGACGGCCGCCGAACGTCCAGCAATTGGAAACTAGAGCTGACACAGGGACAACATGTCGCTGGCCGTGCGGTATTTTCAGAGGCTTCACGTATTGTTTGCAATAGCACTCTCCTGGTTGAGTGAATGAGTGGCGAATATCACTGATCCAAGCGTACGATCGAAGCAAGTTTATTCCAGACATCCGGGCGACATTATGGATTCTAGCGGTAGCGTATTGGGCTTCAGTGCTTGTCGCCATAAACAATTGGTACTTGTGACCCTTGGAGGGCAGTGGATCGGGAAGCTCTGGACCTGCGAATTCTACGATATCAGCAACAGCGAGCATCTTGCGGTCCATTGTGTAGATCATGTCAATGCCGTCACAGCATCCAAAGTGTAACAGGCCATCACTGGGAGGGAACAGCGTGAAGTTGTTGTCGCCAACCACGGCACTCCAGTAGAGTATGATTAGTCTCGTTCGTGGATTCGGGCAAATCTGGACCATCCCTGGGTGCTGGCATGTTGGCATTCCATTGTGGACGGTATGCGGCCAGGCATGGCCTAAGCCATGCTGCCCCCATACTTTAGAAATCTGGACGAGCTGCTTGTGATAGGGTTCGGAAGCTGTCGTCTCCATAGCGATTGCTGTCTTCCCCAAGTCATTGTCCTGGAGTGAGCCTTTACTCACTTTCCGTGCATGCAGCACATTCGGTGCATGCAGCGCACGCTTGGTTGCTGGCAAAGTGTATACTATTAATCCCCAGGCTGATGCGATCAGCAGGACGGTGATGAACGTCTTTAGAGTTCGCTTCAGAAATTCCTGCGAGGCCATTCTTGTGATTATTCCAGGGCCAAACAGGCAGGTTTTCCTGTCTACAGACTCTACACCAGTTACTTGTCACACACAACATTGAGCAAGTCCAGAGACTGGCAGTGGGCTCCAACAGATTATGTGTATGCGTTATCTATATACCGTACTAGTACCAGGAAAATCCCGCCAGAGCTCTCCCATGCGCCCATCTCTCCAATGCTCCCCTGGCCCTCCCTGACTTCTTGTCAGGAAATTGATTCTACCCTTGCATTGTGTCATGGTATGAACATGTGAAGTGTGTACGGCCGTACGAGACACGTAATGTGCTGCAGACGCGTCCAGAGTTGCGTGCATCAACGTTGCATCCCTAGGCTCTTGTTTTGTTTTTTTTTGTTTTTGTTTTTTCAATAGCACCCATTCTGTTAATCCAGGGGATGGCTCACGCCTGGCATGAAGAAAGAGAGATAGAGAATAGAATGAAAATGGAAACAGTGTAAATGAAAAGCCTACAATTCTAACATGAAGAGAGGCTGCGGGAGATCGAGCATGCTTCATTTGTCCCGTTGGTCTTCTCGACAACCGGTGGCATGGGCAAGCAATCTGCCTCGCTTTACAAGCGTATTGCATCTCTCATTGCTGAGAAAAGCAGCGAACCGTATTCGGTTGTTATGTCATTCATCCGCTGCCGCCTTAGCTTTGCGTTGCTCAGAGCAAGTGTCATGTGCCTGCGTGGTAGCCGCTCTGTTTTCGCTGTACATGCACCTGTCTCTTCTTCTGCCTCCCTAGTTGCTGCCGAAGCTGGCACTTCCCGTCATTAATTTTATAGTTTTTAGTTCTTTAATAATTATTATTTGCCATGGCGACCCCCGTAAGCCCAAAAAGCTGGCAGGGCAGGGTTGGGCCCTTTTCTTTTACTTCACAGGTGTAGCATTTTTATCAGTCATTACGTATGATTTATGCAGTGGCAGTACCAGTCGTGGGCCATCCCCTGGATTATCAAAATGGCCGCCTCATCACATTTTTCTGTTGTTTTTACACTACATGTATCGTGTTTTTTCATCGATTTCACAACACAGATCGGAAAAAAACAAAAACAATTCCAACGTGTTGGAAACCATAAGCAAAACTGTAGTAGGAAGGTGGCCTTCAGCTACTGCCAGAGACGCACTCTGCTCCCCCACCGATCGACAGCAATCGACAGCTATACTTCATACACACCTGTATAAAAAACCTGGTGGCTATAAAAACCTGTCGGCTATAAAAAACCTGTCGGCTATAAAAAACCTGTATAAAAAACCTCTTTTTAGGGGTAGATGAGAACAAGAGATAAGAGTATTCACGAAAACAGTACAAACCGAAATAGGTACGAAAATCCAAAACGAAAATCGGTTTTTATAAGTATAATTTAAATAAAATACATACTTCGTCCTCGTGTTTACTCGAATTATAAAAAACCTCCACAAAACCCTCGGCTTCGCCTCGGGTTTTGTGTCGGTTTTTTATTTCTCGTAAACACCTCGGACTCAGTATGTATTTTATAAATATGAAGTTCTCATATTTTCTGCTTTTCTTGTCATTCTTGTCATTCTTGCTTCTTGTCTTTGTTTGTTTTCCTCTACATGTACATGTAGTTTTCTAGTATTCGCGGAGAAGGCGGAGAGCCGGAACGCAGAGCCTTTTTTTTCATTTCACGGAGAAGGCGGAGAGCCCCGAAAACCCCCCAAAAAACTTCATCGCGAGTATATGTATACCGTCAAGTCCACTGCAAACGCCCACCCTATTTCTGCATGGTTGCGTGACTGAGGGGCCGTTTACATGAGGAAAATAAGCCCGGGCTTATTCGCCTCGGGCTTATTTTTCAACCGTTTACATGACGGTTGTACGGGGCTGAGTTCAGGTGAGTGACTGCGAGTTCTGCGCGCATTTTATTTTTCAAATCGCACATGAACGCAGTGGTAAATGTTCGTGTCTGATGAAATTTGGATCAAGAAATGCCGGCTCAGGTTTCTACTGCCTTTCCAATTGTCACTTATTTTTCGAGAAGGTGAAGGATGGGCTAGGACCTTCCACTGGACAAAAACTAGAAGAAAACATACCAAGAAATAAATAAAAGAGACGCACTGCACTGTACTGTCCACGGCCACATTCTCTCAGGTTCACGAGGCAAAATCGAAAAATACGGAAAAACTCGCTTATAAGCCCTTCTTGACCGTTTACATGACAAAATAAGCCCTGGGGGTTGGATAAGCTCGGGGGTCAAGGGTAGGGCTAGTTCAGCTCGGGGCGAGCTGAATAAGCCCGCCTGACCATGTAAACGCGCGCTCTAAAATGACTGGGTGACAGATCAAGGCGGGCTTATCGTAAGCCTAGGGTTGAATAAGCCCGGGCTTATTTTTCTCATGTAAACGGCCCCTGAGACTCTTGCGGAGTAGCCGTGTCTGAGAGGTTCTGCTATACGTGAAACGTAGAGAAATCACGTAGAGAGCAGGTGTCTGGGTTAGAGTCTACGGCTTCGCGTGTTTTGGCTCCAGATTTCTACGCGGAGATGAGGTTCTCTACGTTGCGGCACACGCAGAGAAAATGCGTACGGATTTGCAGGGTATCGATCAACTGCATGCAGAAAATATGGAAGGGGAAATTCCCAGTACACACTCCACGTGACTTCTCTAGGTGAAACGTAGAGCAGAACAGCATTTCTTTACCGTCTCTCCTCAAGTTCAACAGGCGGCATGGGCAAGTCGGCAACAGCCTGCTATAAGCGGATTGCCGGGCTCCTGTCCGACAAGACGAAGGAGCCGTACAACCGTGTAATGGCGTGGATTCGCTGCCGACTTGGCTTTGCTCTGGTTCGCTCCAGCATGGTTTGTTTGCGTGGTGCTCGGCGACGCCCCATGCGCGTCAGCGATGTGGCGGATGCATCTGCTACCTTGGCCGTTACCGAGGCCCGCTGCCCTGTGTAACTGACTGCAAGTGGTTCCTAAATCAGTTCCTATTCCCCATTGTTGCTTCTTTTTTCCCCTCTAGTTTTCTTTTACGGTATTATAATTTCACGGAGAAGGCGGAGAGCCCGAACGTGTGCAGTTTTATGTTTATTATTTGCCATGGCGACCCCCGTAAGTCCAAATAACTGGCAGGGCAGGGTTGGGCCTTTTTCTTTCTTCTCGGATTTATTTTCATGACATGCTCACTGATTTAAAAAAAAAAAATAAATAAAAAAATTCTTTACCGTTTACGGTACGGGAACGCGAAGAAAGTTCGCGTGATTCTTTGCGTCGCGTTCCCAAAACGTAGAGCAGAACCTCCCTATTTATTCGTATTCCACACTTTTATTATCAGATGATCTTGTTTTGTTTGCTATGATTCCGTGATTTTCTGTTGGTTGCTTTTCTGCTGTGCGAATAAATGCAGTGTCCACAGCCTAAAAAAATCTGCATGATCTGCTGGCCTGTACACACTAACCCCATGCACTGTCACCCCTACCAAGTACCAGGGAGTAGTACAATACGTATTGTACTACTCCCTGCCCCTACTGTACGAAAGTGCATCTCACACCGTGTTTTTTCTTTTCTGTTCTGTTTTTTTAGCTTGTTTTTTTTTACACTTCTTTGTGCGAGTTTCATATAACAAAAAGAGACAAAACATATCTCACACCATAGCGCGAAAAGGGCTTTGCTACGGTGAACTATGTCCACTTTCCTGGTTTCAAAATCTCTTTGGGCACTAGCCACGAGCTACTAAGCTCGTAGTGATTTTATGATGATGGTTGTTTTATTTCGCAAATCCAAGCGGGAGTTTCTTCCGACACGGTAGCGAAGAACAGAGTATTGCAGGAACCAAATACACTTCTGACGGTGTTTCAAGCCATCATTTCAGAGTTTTCAACAAGTTAGCAGCGACTTTGTAGGTGTAGCTTCTGTGACATACCCTGTTCGACTTGCAACTGCAATACTGCGGCCAGTCAAGTCGTTGAATGACGCTTCGTCAGAACAATCACTGTTCCCTTTTGAAAGCGCAACATCGTGGCACTGCAGAAATTTCATGAAAACCAGATGGATTCTACGGCATTACCACATGGAGAGCGAACTGCCACAAACGGACGACTCATTTATATGGAATGAAAGGAAATCTCGACAGAAGCTTTTCTTTGCAGCAAGTAAGTTCTGTCCCCTTGGAAAAAACGCGGCGAAGAATTCAAAATTCCGCGGCAAATTCCGCGGGGAAAAGGGGGGTTTTCTGCGGTAAAATCAAAAATCTGCGGCACTTTCTGCAAGTTTTTCACCCTCCTCGTAGAGGATATGACAACTAGTCGCATGAAGGAGCACTTTTCATACTATCCTTTGCAGTCACAAACTGAATAAGAGAGACCTGCCCTGGCAAGAGAAATGTGCTCAAACAGATCGCAAAGTAGTTTTTCTGCTGCTTTCTGAGTAGTAATTTTAGTAATTTACCCTAAAAAAATTCAGATTCCGCGGGCAAAAGTGTGGATTCCGTGATTTCCGCGGATGATGGCAACTTCTGCGAAATTTGCCGCGGCCGCGGAATCGCATTTTTCCAAGGGGACAGTAATAAAGTTGATGACAATCGCTTTTGCAGAGCCTCCTGGTTATAGGTCATAGGCAGTGTGCAGGCCAGGCAGTAGTACAATACCTGATTGTATTGTACTACTCCCTGGTGTAGGAATTACAGCCGTTTTATTATTATTATTAGACACAATCTCATAGCATGTGACAAGCATAGCTAATGCAGGGACAGAATCCCCTAAGACAAGGGCGTTGAGCCAGCCACGGCAATAGTAAGCTAGGAAAACAAAGCAAATATGAATTAAAGCAGAACATGAATGGAAAATTACAAAGAAAAAAAGTTTTCGTACGCATTCGACCTTCATGCCAGTTTTCTACAGCTGCTGGAGCAGGAGTCGTCTCTTGGCGACTCTCTGACTCAGCTCCGGACGGTCAAGGCGACGGTTCGGGCCGAGAAGCGGAGTGCGTTCAAGTCTATGGCTGACGCTCTTCGCTCGGATC